TATTGGTTCTTGTCCGCTCGAGGCAGGCGGTCGTATCGATTGTTGCTGCCATCACTGCATGAATAATCACTTCAAATGAAAGTGTAGCTTTTCTTACTACTTTTGTTGTGAATGACCACCGCTTTGACTGCACGCATTGAATCAGGAAACTCGTTAGTTTGGATCTGAACTGGATAATATACTGGTCGTAACCGTGATCTGTTCCTCCTGTTTTGAAGTGTCCGTGTTGAGATAACCGCTAACCGAAGACGAACCATAAAACTTCAACTTTTTACCGACACCTCATCTTTCCTATGGCTATACCTGGGCACGTAGTAGACAACTACACCATCTGAATAGAGAAGTCAGAAACATGGGTTTGCACAATGTATCCATGGTCATTTCGCTGCATCTGTACACGTGCATACTGCAGTCAAAGTCATTTTATATAGTCAGTGAGATAACTACCGTGAAATGAAGACATGATTGCTAATCACAACGCACAACACACGACACAGTAACACAAAGAACGGGAGAGGGTGGGGGTAATCTGTCTAACGAATCATTTTTACAAGGGATTCTGATAAATTCATTACAATAATCATAACAACTGGGAGTAAAGATGTGAAGACTATCAACGTTCAAGGTCCAATGCGCGCAGCACGAACCGAGACAATTGAGTTTTGTTTTATCTTCGTATTCCTGTAATAATGGGGCTGGGTCCTGAACGGGTATCTACGCGCGCGAGCAAACACACACACACCGTACACAATGTACCTCAACAACCCGAGTGCTGCTTGATGGTGACAATCACACGTATTGTCCATTCGTTTTCACTTCCAAATTTCTACCGCTTGTGAATATCTGCATTTTTGCGGTATCCATGAGGTTAGTGAAATCGTAAAATACCCAGTCATCATAAATAAATAGATCAACATTTGATTGACAGGTGTACTCAACGGGTTTGCACCATTAAAACCGTCAGTCACAATTGTAGTGATGCTCATTATTCATATACTGCGTAAACGGGACGTCTCAGTATCGTTAGGGTCGATCCCACGGGATCTGTTTCAAGTCTGGATACGATACGATTCTCCACTTGACCGGGGCAGATCGGAGACCCAGCAAATGCGCGCACGCCCAGTGATGATGAGGGCCGGCCCGACTGTGTCGCGCCGTGGCATGAGAGATACAGCTTGTTCTGTCCCTCAAGCTAGGCTGTGGTTGGTCCACTCCTTTGGTCCGTCTGACCACGCCCGTCCACACACAATTCGACAGCAGTGACGTACGCGGGCGCGGTTCGACCTAGAACGAACCAATCAGGCTGCAACCTAGATGGATTAGAACAGGCTAACGGCGTGTCCACAGAAAACGCGTGGTGACCGCTGGAACGGGTTAGACGAAGATGGGAGGGGGAGCAGACGACCAAGCAACAACAACAACAACAACGACAACAACCAAAGCATACTGCATCGGCTACCCAGGCTGTCGAGATTGCTAGTATCAGGATTGGCTTAGGTGCGGCTGTTATCACGGACCTGGCGTGGGGTGCGTACGTGTGCTGTGTATGTGTATGTGTGGGTGTGTGTCAAGGCCACTAATTGGCGCGGTATGCGCATATGGATACGACTGTTAAGCCTATGCGAACCGAACTACGACTGCTTGGATTCACTGTGATTGTTAAACGTCCCTATGGACACTCCTTTTTCCGCAAACTTTACAAAAATGCCTCCAATGGCTTATCATAATCCGCTAAATCCGAGATCATCTTCAATAACGTTAGAAGCTCCACGTTGTCCTACGTCTCTACAGTGCCCTTCTCCGTCATTCATGTGCTCACCGGCTACCGCTTTGACATCGAATGTAAGCGGACTCGCTCAACCATTTTCACGCATTCCTCCAGTTTCGGACTATTTATACGCGGCTGCAGCTGCTGCCTCATTGTTCACCTCATCGCGCCAATTATCCGCAAACAACCGAATCCCCCCGATCGCACCACCACCACCACCACCACCATTCTTGCCGTCCGCACCGATTATGCAACCGCTCACAAACCTTGAGCCCACACTATCTTCCACTCCCTTGCTTGGTCCAACTTCATCCGCACCAAACTGGAATCAGATACAACACAGTTGGGACCCGGCTATTTTGTACCTAGCAGCTGCTACCCAACTGGTACTTCGACACTTGTCCTTCTCCAATAGTTCCACGAACACAACAGCCCTGTCACACGCTAGCACCACCACGACCACCACCACCACCAGTCAGACTCTTTCCGCCCNCCAGTCAGACTCTTTCCGCCCCACAAACAGTAATCTCAGGTTCAACCGAAACCGATTCAAATTCATCACCATTCCCGTTGAATTCACTCTTTTCCATAAACAGTATGCCAAACACCACTACGATCACTAATACTACTACAACCACTCAGTTAGCTCGATTTGACCAACCCGTGGCTTTGATGTCCTCCAGTTTCAGTACTTCCACACGTCCCGTTCGAGAATCTTCCGTGTCGAATGTACTTCGACGAACTGATGCCACGTCATGTGGTTGTCGAGAGAAACGATATCGCTGTACCTATCCGGGATGTTCCAAGGCCTATTACAAACGATCTCATTTGAACGAGCATTTCCACTTACATACCGGTATGAAACCGCATTTGTGCATTCAGCCCGGCTGTGGTGCCCGTTTTACTCGAGCGGATCAATTGTCCCGTCATCGACGAGCGCACACAGGTGAACGGAATTTCTTCTGTACCACATGTCAAAAACGATTCAAACGAAGTGATCATTTGAAAGTCCATCTGGCACGTAATGTGTGCACTCGATTACATTCTATCGATCCGCATTGATTTCTGGTCTGTCTGTCCCTCCTTCCGTCGCCCCGAACTCGACGTCCTCCGTTTCCCTCACTCTCTTTCTTGATAGTCTCAGCGAATACCCCAGTTGATCTCACGGTCATTCTACGCCACCGTAACTGGTTCGAGAACGTTGAATTATCTGTAAACATACACATTCACGGACGCTCGCACATTCTCCGTTCCAGGATGTACTTACTCATGAGATAGACCGATACTTGTTCATTCAGGAGCTCGATACCGAATCGGCCGTTTCCGCACCACCGTGAGAAGTTTTCCGTCAATCTGTCTGTGCATCCCCACCGGCGGAATCGCACGATTTGGAAGAATGAAATGTCAACGTAACTATGAATTTATTCAAACTTGTGAAAATTAGAGAACAACAAACAACAGTGAACCCCCCGCCGTCGCATAATTCCGAACGGGACTTGTTTGCATTGATCCCCGGTACCGGATGAACATTCATTTTGTGCCATCATCCGTTTTGTGCCAGTTCTTTTTTTCTCTCTTCCCTCCTATCTCTCACACACACACACACTCACACCGAGGCTGGTAAGTCCTCATACGCCAATATTTCCAATAGGACAACTCTCGTATATGACCATCGGTTGGTTGTATTCGAGACATCGTTGACATGTACATGTCAATGGGAAATTTGTGATCTTTGAGAATCGTATCCTATCATGCTCGGAGTTCATTTTGCTCGTATTGTATTACACTGTATTGTACTGTATTTGTCACAAGAGAAGTGTTATATTCGATAGTTTCGAATGTTTTCCATTTTACTCACCCTAATGCACTGAGGATAGCTAGGAAGCGACCGGTATCAGAATCAGTTACACGTAGGTCAGTTTGATGTTATCGATCTTGTCGTACACACACTCCTTTCGATTATTTTCTCGTTTTTGCGCGCACGCTCAAGTTATTTGGTTAAGTATGTTTTAGTGACACCCTTGGTGCAGGACCGATCGAATAAAATGCTGGTTCAGGAACCGTACTGGGACAATCAACGATCCTCGAAACTACCACGATTTGAATCTTTTTTTAGTGTGTGGAGTCATTTAACTGATATATCTATCTATCTATGCCAGACTGTATACCAAACAAATCATGGTACAATAACCTTTATAAAAAACGAGAGAGATGTGTAAATATCGCTCCATTTCAAAATACATCAGTCGTATCGATAGGTTTTGCATTGGTGCCTGCAAAATACGTGCGTCGCTGCTTGTGATGGTTAACTAGTTCAGTGATAAGCATTAAGAAACTGATTAAGATTAAAATGTATTGGATTTTGAACCTTCATGATGCCCGAAACCACCTTTGATCTGTTTGAGAATCAGATCTGTACTTCCTAGAGTTTTGTTGCTTCCCAAAGCGGGTTTCCACCACAAAACTTGCTTCCTCATGAACGTCCTAAGTCTAAGTGAAAAGGAAACATTTCGATCTTTCCGAAAGGATTTCAACTCTTCAAAGGTGTTAAAATGTATATTATAAGGAGTTCCTGATCACTGATCGTGTCCAATTTATCCGGTTTTCGCTATGGTTGAACTCCTCATCTTCGATTGAGGATGGGATACTGGGAACACTGATTCAATGGCGTCTATTTCATTATGCACACGCATCCAAGTTGTGTCGAACTTCCATTGGAAGTTCAATCGACTTAGGCTCCAAGCGAAGCAATGCACTGGCTTCCACTTTTTCACTATGTCCATCTATTGTAATGAAGAACAACGTTCGTCACGCAAGCTGGTAAAAAGTTCTCCCGTTTGATCGTGAAAGTACGAATACGAGTAGTAGTGCGCATTTTTGGGGGATTCGCCTTCTCAGTTATTTGGTGTTCCGCATGCGCACTTGACTGTTAGCAGCTATACGCTTCACTTGTACCCTGTCAGCCTTAACAGATTCCCGGTTGGATGAATTAATGTAGCCGTGCTATCCACAAAAAGAGATTTAGTATGCGGTAAACGGTAATAATAAAATTAATAATAACAGTAGTAATTCTCTGGTTTTCACACACATTTTATACTATCAACTTTCTGAAATCACGGCACTCGAACTTGACTAGCAAGAGATATTTGGGGATATAGCCATAATAGATTGGAATAAACTCAACCAGAGGATAACGAAATAGGTCAAAGTGCAATTTCCGGGATTTTCACCGATTTGAACATCGTTCTCAACACTGTCGACTAACAGTTCGGAAGTGCACTTCACGTGAAAGAACCAACACGTCCGTACATGTCCAAGATTTTCAAACA